AAAAAAAGAAAAGTTCCCACAAAAATTTCCACTGGCGAAATTATACATACAAAAATCACATGTAGAATCTTTTTGGTGCCATATACTGAAAACGTTCAGAAACAAAATGATGAAATTGCCCTCGGTACACTTCAGGCGCCGTAGTTATTCGCTGATCCATCAGGCAGGAGCAATCAGTCACGCAAGGGCAAGATGTAATCACAATACTGAGTAACACTGTTTACCGTGTTGTTGTCTCACTTGTCAATTGAATATATTCAAATCAAAAACAAAAATGTTGAATTGCAATTGAATGCGGCTTCCTGAAAATCGCAAAAACTGGTTCCCTGAACTGATATAAAAAATCGCCGATCCGCAAAATTAAACTCCCGCAAAAAAAAAATTAAGTGCGGCAAGGTAACTCAGGCGATTGCAAAGATTTCAATACTTTTAAATAGAAAATTTACGGAGACAAATTGTGCATCATTATTTTTTGCATCTATCTGTTTTTAGATAAAGGAGTTTCTTTAGTTTTCTAAAAAAGGGAATCGTATATCACTGGAAACATTCATTTTTGTAGCACATCACCTCCCGGGCCTGTAAAAGAACACATAGACAAGTCACTCTAGATGAAATCAGACCTTTCTGGCATTGAATATGAAAACTGGTAAATGATTTTCACTGGTCAAGAACTTTCTGACAAAGGCTCCGTGTGTAAACTCGACTAACTTGCTTTGAGTTTGCGCGCCATCTAACAAACCTACCTTGAAAAGAGATGCCGGGACAGACAAAACACATAAAGCAATGGAAACGAGAAGAAAAAAAGTGGGTACAAGTTTTGACCTCATTCTGCAAGCAAAGTTCGCCAGCAATGATAGATCGAGTAGTGTTCACGGACGTACGGCGAAAGCGGAACAAAAGCATGCGGCCGAAAGTAATTATCTTCTAGAGATCACAAAAACTAATTGGATGTATGAAGAGCATTTAAGCAACTAACAAAACGTTTTGTTTAAATTTCGCCTTTTTGGCCAATTAAAATAATATTCGCTCGAAATGATTGTCATTCGATATAGCCTTTTAATGTTTAAAAGACAATTTCTGATGGAGTTGAAATTTCACTGAGTTCTTATTGGCTGCTGGTAAAAAAGTAAATTGTTTGAACAAATCTGTTAAAATATTGTACACAACTTTTCCTTCCCCTTCTCTCACGTTTCATTTTATGTCAAGAGCTTGGATATATTCTCAGGTGTTTTCAAGAATTGTTGCATCTCTCATTAAATGAGACACTAATGGGCACTTTGAAGATATCCATTTCCCACTTGCTAGACTGGTTACTTTCTCCATTCGGCTGCCCTCGGGCGGCATTTTTCTCACGCGCAAGTAATGGCTCATTTGTGGTAGTATTTGTTTTCTTTTTGTATGCAGTAGGTCAGTTTGGGATCACGCTAACTGCATGCTTGAAATTACAAACTTAAGTTAAACATTAGCTAACATTGAAGCCCGAAATGTTGTTTTTCATAATAACAGAATTATCTCCAACAGTGTTTCCTGATCACCGAATTAAAATTTTTTGTCGAAATAACAAATAATATCAAATAGAGTTATATAAATAAATTTGGGAATGAAATCAGAATGAAATTAGAGCAACCGTCAGCTTCGCGTTTCGTCCCAAGCGGAGCATGTACTGGGACCTAGTTACCTGAGCGTGGTTACTAAGTTCATGCAAAATGGCGGAAGTAGAGTCTCACATACCGGCTTTTTATTTTATCAAGGCTCTCACTCTTTGGTAAACTTCGCCAAGGTAAGAATTCCTTACAACCCAATATGCAAATATCAATTAACTTTGGAATAACTGCAGAATACTCGGCCACTCGAAGCTGGACCCCTTAAAAACTACGCAGTTTGTGCACTATCATTCTTTTTTTTTCTTTTTTTTTCACGTTGATTACATTGGCACGTGGTTACGGGGCTACTCGGCTACGTGGCTACTCATCTTTGTAGCCGCCAAGCCACTGTTTCAAAAAGTGTTTTGGAGTGGCCGGGTATTCTGAACTTTTGTTCTTATTTCGAAATAATTGAGCTTCCGCTGTCATGCATAGGACAAAGAACGACATCCGCAAAGTTGCACGATAAAACACTAAAAACAGCTGATGTGTAAAACTGAGACTGCAGACCGGGGATAGAATGAGTTTATCCTGTTACCATTTCACTACGGTTAGCCTGAATGATACACAGGCTAGCCTGTTTACGACCAGCTCTCGTATATAGAAAATAGTACCACGATATACATAAATATTTAAAACGTCTACAGTCTACATTTGTACATTTTACTCCAGATCTGCAGCCTGCATTTTACCCTCAGACTGATATCTGCAGTAAGTATCTGACCGGATCCTCAGAGGATGCTATCGACATTTGTAATCACGCCCCAAAACCCCCGGGGAATAGTGTGTAAATTCTCAAGAGCATCTTTTTTTTTTCAATTTTAGAAGCTTTCCCCAGGCCCCAAGGCCAGATTCAAAAGTGATTGGCTCCACCCCTCAAGTAAGTGTGAAATCTGTCTGCAAGTCAAATAACAAGTTTTCGTGACTGAAATGTCAAAAGCAATGTATCAAAAACATGACCCGATCACTCCATGACATCTTTATGGGCATGTCAGGAAATAGCTAATGCTATTCTGTGTATTTAAACGAGTTAAGGTGTACAGAGTAACAAGGCCTTCACAGGCAGCTGATAAAGATATCTCTTTCAAAGTCGCTCTCGAAGGTGAACACAAACTTGTTTTTTGCTTCAATTCAGAGCCCAATTATTTGCTCACTCAATTGTGACATGGGGTGACCAGAATACAGCTTCTTATTGAATGTAAAATTTCCACAACATTCACCAACCAGCAAATTTATCTGCCACATGAGAAAGTTTGGCTGACCCAACAGGAGCATAGTGTGCATATTTTCTGCTAATCTTTCCAGGGATGGTGCAAGGAATTTATGCCAAATCTCTAACTACAGCGTAGTGAAATCCCCACTATCTGGGGTTTTGGGGGTCAGGATTACAATTGACTAGCACGTAAGTCCCTCCATTGCTCCACTGGGTATTTTTGTCAGCTCATGGGTGGGGCATTGTCCAAGGCCATTCTATCTTTTAGCATTTTTTTTTTTTAATATGTGCATCCTTTGTCATTTAATGGGTAAACCACTGGGTATTTGCACAAATATTTGCAACAAGAGCCATGACTAAATTATGCCAATCGTAATTATTTTGTTTTCATCATCATCATCATCATCATCATTATCATTGTTATTATTATAACTATTATTATTATTATTATTATTATTATTATTATTATTATTATTATTATTATTATTATTGTGTTTGCATCAATGGAGATACACAGGCAATGTAAGTTTTGATCTGGTGAGCAATTTAATTTACATATTTACAATCATATGAACATGTTTCCGTAATTTAAACTTCCGCAGGTTCTTTAACCCAAAATTCCAAAATACAATGCCTCCAAGAGTGGTGAAAACTTGTCATTACAGATATCTAAAAGGGAGTGAGGATGAGCCCCTTTTCAGAAATAACAACACTTACTGATCTTAACCAGCCTGCTGGTTGCAACTTCATTTTGGCATAATTACAACTACAACTGATTTAAAAACACTTCAGTCCTGAATGTTACTTCACAAATTTTAATCATTGATTTTCCACTCAAAACTTGATTTTAAGGGGTTGATACACATTTCAACATCCCATATCAGATATTAGCAAGAACAACAAATTAGATTCTACAATTTAGCTTTCAAGCTGCATACTGTATGTACAATGTCATTTACTTATTAATTACTGGTATTCGAGCTCACATAATTAACTTTTTTCATGAGGATTTTATCCAAGTATACATTTAAAAGTAACTTATATACAATAGAATGTACAGTAGGTGACTCTCTCTCTTGGTCTGACAAAAAGGCTTAGAGTCTTATCTACTGAATACACTCACTTCCTAGTGATATTTCACGTGCATTGCACACATATATCCACATTATTAGGACCTTTAATGAGGCAGTATCCCAGGGGAGGCCCTCCTATGAAAACATCAGGAGAGTCAGTGCTATGTGTTGATTGGTACTGCACGAGTGTAAACCTTACTCATGGCTATACCTTTCAGGGAAATATTGACCTTAAAAAAACACACCTGCTTTTAATAGGGTTTTTCAGTTGCATCCATTGTACAGTACAGTTTAGAAACTTTATCAGAACATACCACTAGAGCAACGAAACTGCATTAGAAATTTCAATATGAAGCAGTTTTCTTGTGATCTGAAAAAATCATAACAAGGTTTGTGGACTAAGTGTCTTGAAAGCGTTACTGTGATTATTATTTTAATTCTTAACAGTTAGTGAACAGTTGCTCCACTTAAGCTTGCACAATCTAGATTGACACCGTGCCAGAAAAAATTTAGCAGCTACAGTTTACCACTCTAATGCTTTTCATAGTATATAAATCCAAGGACCACTTAGCACTGAATGTAAGGTATAGACCAGAGACTAAAGTAAAGTCATCAGCTCACCCAAAAGGTTTTTACACCCCTGGCAATTACATACATTAAAATTTTGTGTCAAAGGAAACAGTGAATGTTTGGGAACAGATGCAGTACACCGCATACTGACTCTCCAGAGGGACATAAGTCAATTAAACACTGGTCAATAAATCTCTTGTTGCACTTTCATTCACTGAAGAAGGTTCATGTCCAATGTGCGTAGAATCAACATCCCTTGGTTTAGACTCACACTGCTTCTGAACTGACTCGTTCTTGGTATTTTGCATGCCATTCAGTCCTACCATACCATTGACTTGGGGAGCAAAGGGAAAACTGGATGAGAAATGTGGAAACTGTGGATTCCCCATTCTCATGCAGTTAAGTGCTGTAAAATACCAATTAGGTATTGATTTCATTTCAGGAAATGGTGGCAAAGGAAAGCTCAGATGCAGAACCACTGGAATGAAGTGCGTACCAGATGGGTGAAGAGCGTAAGTTGGCAGAGTGTATGGATTAGGCATGTATGGGGTCCTTGGCGAAAGGGGTGTGGCCTGAATTGGCATATCTAGGCCAAGGTTGGGCCAATTACAGTTGACAGCTGTGCTTTCAGGTCCACATCCACCACCATCCATATTAGCTCTGTCAAAGATGTTGCTACCATCCTGCTTTAAAGAACTGGAAATCGCTTCTTTTTCTTTGTCTGAACCAACACTACTCCCTCCTGTGTTTGAATGAGCACCTTTATTTCCATCCCAGCCAGTACCAAGGGAAGCTTTTCTCTTTTCTTTTTTTATGCTGCTACTCACTGATTCTGTTGAAGTACTACTTCCATTACCATCACTACAAGAGTTCTTATCAGAATCAAGATGTGGTATTTTTGCAACTGGGTTTTCACAGGAAGTCTCATTTTGGATGTTGGAGTTTTCACTGTTCTCATGGATTCTTTTATGTCGCCAGGATTCATGACAAGATTTTGAAGGGGGCAAACTACTAATGTTTCCATTAGAAGTGGCACTCAGACATTTGTTGTTTTGATTGTCTTTGTGGTTTTTCTCTGAATCACTCACTTCTGTAGTTTCTCTCATAAACTGTAATTCATTCTGCAGATGGCCCATTAGTCGCTGAAAACAAGGCTGTTCAAGGTCCATGGCTTCTACATTGGTAAGGCAATGAAATACCTCTTTAATGCAGTCGCTAAAACCATTGTAGTAGTTTGAAGTCAGCTCCAGCTGTGCACTAGGAGGTTTACTATCTTTAGCTGTGGTATTTTGTATTTCTGCAATAACAATTAAGTATAATTGATAAGATCAAGTTGTTCCTTAACTGCAGTAAAATGATGAACACAATGATTGTTGAACCCTACAATGATGATGACATACCATAACAGACTAAACAGTTTCAAAAATACCAATCTTTGTTGCTCTTCTGGTCCCTAATACTTTAACTGGTGATAAAACAGGCTGAATTGAATCACAACTCATAGCAAGTTTCGTCTGTCAAAAGTCAACACTGCTTTACATGTACATGTGAACAAATTTTATTAGTGACCTGAGTTCATCTTCCACAGCAGTGTGAGGATTAAATATGGGACATGCATCACCTGATTAATTTTGAATCTCAAAAGTGTGTAAATAAGCAGATTGTCAGGTCACACCACACAGACCTCCCCCTACACACGAGGTTTGACATGGCATGAAAATACCAGTAGCACTGATAATTTGGATAGTGACATTGAGATAGCTGGTCAGTAATCTTTCTTCAATCAGGCTAGCAACATTTTTGGAGCGGGAAAAGATATCAAAAAACCATATTACTGTTTTACTTCATAAATCAGATACAGGCAAAGGTTTTCTGATAATACATTTAGAATAATCACTCTAAAATGCATGTATTTCCATTATGCAATCAAATTGTTGGAAGAGACATAACAATATTTTTACACATTAGAGCCAGCGAAGAAATTCTTTCACATTATACTGACTGTATAAGTTATAAATCATGCATCTTCTCACCATCTGAGTGTGAATTGTCAGTCTCACTCCTCATCCTCATACATTTATCCCCTGTGAGATCTTGAAGTTTCTTTATGTAACTTATTGTCTTTTCCAGAATTTCAGCTTTCTCCAGCTTAACAGCACATGTATCAAGGAACAAAAAGAATTATCCCAGGCAAAAATGGCACTATGTTTTTCCATAAGTTACAAAAGACTTAACACTAAAAACTGAGTTGGACAGTTGCCCTAACACTCACAGGACCAATAGAGTTTTTTTACTTAGATCAATTACAAGTACAGACTGTACAGACAAACTAAGATTTCCCCTTTGTGAACACTAAGGAATGATCTAGACCTCGAGGGGGGAAGGGAATTTGCTTGCCTGGCCAGCGTTCCTTCCTTTTGCGATTTTTTTTTTTTAACCCAAAATGGGGGGGGGGNCGTCAGTCAGTGTGCAGTGGCGGATGCAGACCTTGAGCTAAGGGGGGGTTGAGGGGGGCGGTTTTGTTTTACTAGCTTTTCTTCCTTCTGTGATTTCTTCTTCTTTTACCCAAAATAAGGGGGGGGGGGGCAGGCCCCTCCCCTAGATCTGCCACTGCACATAATATAGAAAACAACCTTGGACAACCACACATACATGTACATGTACCAGATTTATTAGTGTGTTGATAATAAGCTTATTTCTCATATAATAGAATGGGATACGAGTGGCTGTCATATAGATATCCTCCAGTCTTGTTACTTAATTGGGGTTATGTAGTTACATAATTTAGTTTTGAGAAAACAAAACCTGTTCTGTTATTTTCAAGATGTGGTATTTTTGCTTTATCCCATAATAAAAAAGGTTGAAGGAGGGAATTAAAATAGGTTGCCATTTCTATACAACAAGTATCCCTACCCACCCTTCTCACTAATCCTCTCTAACCGTGAAAGTAATCTCTCAACCAGTAGAACACACTCTATAATCTATGATTACTCCTGGTATTATACTAACATGTATCTTTGCTCTATACTTGGGTACTTGTAAATTGAACACTGCTGGAAAGGGTGTGCTGTACATACCTGTTTTGAGGCAGGCGAGGATGGCAACAACTGGGCTATTTCAGACATACTTATGTTCATTCGGTCTCTTCTCCTTTTCTCGGTGAGCTTATGAGAATATTCCGTCTGTAGAACAACAAGTAAGTTGTTACACATGCCTTGACATTTTAACAATTAGCAAGGGGTATGCCCGGGGGAGATATGTTGATGTTTGTAACTGACCGATACATAGCCCATAGCACTAACAATCACTACGCTCTCATCTGATTTTTGAGAGGTGTAACTATGCACATTGCACCCCTGTTTTTTGACCTTTTGCTTAACCCATGGTTAGCTCCCTCATGATCCATATAAAACACTCATATACATGTATATAACTCGGATATTTTCCCTCTTACAACTCATTTATACAGTATCTATATAGGCATCGGTCAATATAATGGCAAGCGTCGCATCGAAACAAGTCGAAACATAAGCTACATTAATAGAAAACAGGGGCAAACTGGTGACAGAATATGTAAGCTTTTTACATGTACATGAAATCGAACGTCAAGATGAACCAATTTAGAATGCAAACAAACATGGGAGAAATCGACATTGGAGAACTTAAATTACTTGCATTTTACACAAGTTAACTTAGCTAAAATATTTTTCCAGTTTTCGAAGAAAGCTAAATGATGTAAGCTTAATTTAACTTTACTTACGCTTAAGCATATCATCACAAGTTCCTATAACGTCACCTGAAACTGTCGTTCACTGCTTTACAGCGCGTTTGTTTAACTCAACACAAAACACCTACCTTATGTCCTTTCGACTTTGAGGAACAAGGGGAAACTGGACGGGAACGAAATATCCTTTCCTCGATATCTACAACTGACTCCGCCATGTTGCTAGATGTGCTGCACGTAAACGGCAGTCCAACAATTATGTATCGTAAAGAAATTTCCCAAACCTCGTTATGTGAATTTGTACACGTGCGGTGCTCCTTACATAACACACAAAAACATCGCACGTGAGGTGCCAACTAATATTGTGGATATTGCTCAAGAAAGGCTTACAGGACCGCTTTTTCACGAGTTTGACTACTCTACAGTATAATTTCACTTCTTTCAAATATAAAAAGGGTTATGTATGTGCAATTTTAAAGTGTCTGGTATATTTTGTGCCTCGCGAATGAAGATCAGTTAACTTCCGTTTCCGGTTGGCGTGAATCATACATTGCATAACTCCGCACGTGAGGGGTAGTGTGAAACTTCTGTTTCCTCCTCCCACGTTTATATTTGTTTTATAGTACAGTATTCTACACTGTTATGACCTTGACACTTCCTGAATTTCAGTTCATGTGCAAAACACGTGTACGGTCAACTGTCTCTTACGTGCCCTGCCGTTTTTCAGTCGTTTCACTGTAAGACGGACACCTCTCTAATCGACAATGGACACATTGAAACCATTATAAGCGCACATACACAGAAATTTAGCTGCTGAATGTTACACCAAATTACGATTTGGAGAAGGAAAATTCGTATTGCAAAGAGAAACGGACTTATTTGACCACAACGCCTTGTTTGAAACTGGGTTAAACTGTTTAGAAACGGACTTTTTTAATCCGCGCTTTTCGGTTCGATTCGGTAAGTCGTTAGATTAATTTCGATTGGGTTCAGTCCCTGAGGTTCAGCAACCGAACTTAATCGAACTCAACCAAACAGAAACTTTTTGCCAATCGAACACAAGCGAACTTTAGAAAATCGAACAACTGATCAATCGAACTCAATCGAACTCCAATCGTTTGACTGATTTGGATTGGGTTCGGCAGTCGAACGTAATCGAACTCTAGATTGATCGAACTTTTCCTTTTAGCCTGCGAACAGGCTCCCGGCGAGGACAGAAAAAAAAAATTAGGCTGGCGAAGCGAGCCGACGAGCGCGAAAGAATTTGTTGAGCGAAGAGAGCGGTCGAGGCGGGGAACCTCCCCCGCCCCGCGCGCAGCGCTCGCTTTGCTCGAATTATTATTTTTGTTTTCGCCTTGATATTCCAAATCAGTTTAATCCAGTTTCAAACAGGCCGTTGTGGTCAAATAAGTTTGTGAAGGCTTCGAACACTCTGGCAAGATGTCGGCTGTATATATTGCCGGTGTTGTGCAATGCGACTTCTAGTTTTTACACAAAATTTACAACGAGGTTATGACAACACTGGTAGCGCTACACTCTTAGACAGAATAAAAAGGAACAGTTAACCCCCTTCTTCCCCCCCCNCCCCCAAAAAAAAGCAATGATGAAGGCGCGAAGGAACAAAAACGCGCCATTTTGGCAGCATTGAAATTGGGGGAGGGGTGGTCCAGGATGTTCCACTTATTGTGTCCAAGATTGCAATCTTGAACAGAACAAAAAGGAACAATTAACCCCCTTCCCACCCAAAGCAATGATGAAGACGCGAAGGAGCAAAAACACTCCGTTTTGGCATCATGGGGGAGGGGTGGTCCAAATGTTCCATTTATTTTGTCGAAGATTGTTTATTGTTTATTTTGCATATGCTGTACACCGGCTTAAGGACGGTGCCTACTTTTGTTAGTGCGCACACATTCTGCGCATCACACAAGGCATGGTTTAAGCGCCGCACGCGCACTAGGGTTGACAATGACGCAATCATCTACGCTACCAAGTACACGACTAAAACGAAAGCAAAATTTTCCTACTGTAACCAAATCAAGTTTAATGAACCTGTACTTAAACCAGGAACACCACAATTATAGCATATCGCTAAGCACCAACTGTTACCGTCTTCCGGCTGAAAAACTATGTGTTATCTCCTCGAAAATTATACTGAAATCCAACTGTAAGCAACTACCTGCAGATGACGTGGAGGGCGCGCAAAACAAGTGCGAGATACGCAATTGTTTACTTACTAGGGAGGTGCCAGGAAAAATGTAACGGACACCGTAAAAGTTTTCAAAAAAGATGAGTAACTTTAAAAAACTCGTGGTTACCCCTTCATTTTATGTTATGAAATGGAAGTGAGAAGCCTATTCAACACGTGATTAGTTTCTGGTTGGGAGCAAAAGGTGTTTAGACTGTATTTCAGCTGAACCCGAGGAAGGCTGTCAGAGACGCTAAAAGCGCTATTGCAACGATTTTGTCATTAAAAACATATCAAATATGGTTTTTATGTTACCATTTACCGTGCAGTTTTAAGGTCTTTATAAATGTGTTTGCTTTTCTGTATGTAAAGGCGAATTCTAAGGAAATATCTGAGGAAATATCATTTTCTAATTTTTTCAGAAAAACGCTGCTGTCAGCATTTTTGTTGAGATTCAAGGCTAATTATCTCCAAAAAATGCGTGGCTACCTCCAGTTTTCTTTGTGGATTCCAATAGCCCTTGAAAAGATCTACTTTTTCCGCATGGTCCTAACCTGGCGCAAAAACCTTTGTATTTGGTAGGCACCGTCCTTAATACAAGTTATTAATTCAACTTTATTATCTCAGAAGTATACTGGTTTCACGTGCAAGTTGCCTCAACTCTCTAAAAGCAGGACACCTCTACATGACGGACGGTTGGGGCAGGTCCTGACGATGTCCGTTTTAGAAAGAGATGGGCCTCGCCGGTGGGTTTGGTTAATTTCTTTTGTAAGCTCACTTGGCAAAGAGTGATTGCCCGGGCCGAGACTATCGCATGGGTTGTGTACATCCCTCTCGGGAGGGGGACTCCCTCATAAAAAGGACGGGGATGCTCGTCGGAAGTTTTGAAAAGAACCCCTAGGAGGTACCAAAAGAACCCCTAGGAGGTACCAAAATCCTGTTTTGCGGGCGTAGCCTTACTTTTTTTATCCTTTTTTTATCCACTCCCTGTGTGGATTCTTCGGTTCCTTTGACGTACCATGATCCCAGAGATCTTGGATTGATCTGTTTAGTAAAGAAACGCAAAATCCGTTTTTGGATTCTTTCGGATTTAAGAACCCAATCTTGGATTTTATTAAAGAAACGCACCCTAAGAGGTACTAAAACCGCTTTTTTAACCCCTAAAAGGTACGACAAGCACCCCCGTCAAAATGGGAGCTCCCCCCACCTCCCGGTGATCACTGCGCTGATCATTCAGGTCTTTGAAAGCTTCTTATTAGGATAAGGTGATTAAGGTGATGGTGATTTCAGGATCAAAAATTAGTCGAGAGAACAAAGACAAATATTCAGGGAGCTGTGAATATGTGAAACTAGTCTAACGGGTAATTTTATTGCTGAAAAGAGTTTTCCTGGTCAGTTATCTTCTCGCCCCTGAATTACCACTAAATGCAGCTCTTTCCTTCTACTTTGATTGGTTTGAAAAAACATTTTAAAACGGACGGCATGACCGACGAAACTCGACAGAAGCACGTGTTAGTCAGGTAATTCAAGCAATTCAAGCGGAAGTCCGTCATTTTCGGACTTTTAATCAGAACCCGACCGTTGGTCAAGGAAGACGTGATCTGTCTACAGTCTGGAGAATTACCATATGTCCTCGAATAATAGCCGGGGGATGATTAGTTTTTTTTCGCACCAAAAGAGCAAATATTAGAGGGGGGAGCTAGGGGGTGGGGTGATTTAACGAGTGGGCTATTATTTCAATATTACTCGGGAAGTTGTGGCCTAAATATCTTATTGTATTTTCCCATTTTAAATAATTACATTACGTAAACTGATCGAAAAAACTGCCACAATTCCTCTGCTGTAGTAAATTATCTGTTAGGCTCCTATGCAGACGCTCTTTAGGATCGTCACGCAATCTTCCTTCCCCACGAGGAAGATTGCGTGACGAGCCCAAGTAGCGTCTGCGTAGGAGAGTAATTATCTGTTTGCTTGTATCCTATCAAGGTGAAATGTTTTAACGTGATGGGGGTTGATGGATGATGTAGCGACGATGGCGTGGGCTTGGAAGGTGGAGGGTGATTATTAGCTGGAAGTGAGGGGGTGGGGCGATTATTCAAGGGAGGCTATGTCGCCTATTTTATTCGAGGACATACGCTTTAATATCATATTTCTTAATTTGCAGTTTCTACTTTTGCATCTTACGGGCATCTTTAATGGTTCAAGTAACTGTAAGCTAATTACAACTACAGTGTCTAACATTTGTCTCGTGAATAATTCATCAAAGAAGTGTTGAACTCGGCTCTTTTATAACACTGAACAGCTTCTGAGTCGCACTTACACAAAGCGTGCCGACACTCGCCGTAAAACCAGTAGTAGTNGGGGGGGGGGGGGACTGCCATATAAAAAAGACTGGGGCGCCCGTCGTGCCTTTTAGGGGTTAAGAAAAGCGGTTTTGGTACCTGTTTGGGTGTTCAGCCTCAAAAGGTCCACAGCAGGAGCTTTTGCGGCACCTTTTAGGGCATTGAGCCAAAAAAATATGACAGGAGATATTGTGTGATGTAAGAATTGGTATCTCTTAGAGTGAACAAAGTTCAAGCCACGCCCACAAAACAGTATCTTGGTACCTCTTAGAGGTTCTTTTCAAACTTTCCGACGAGCCGCCCCCCGCCCTTTTCATATGGGAGTCTCCCACTCCCGGGACCTTTTCATTTAGGAATACAAGTACACCTGACGTAAAGTTTCTTCACTTTGAAGAACTTAGTAGATGCAGATACTTATTACGACTTACTGCCCTTACTGCTCAGTTTGTTTTTGGGCAGTTTTGATAAATGAAAAGCCATAGGTCAGCTCAATAGCACGTATAGACGAAGGACAAATGTTCATTTTCATCCGGGTAAACGTTTTAATGTCATATTAAGGTTGAATACACTCCTCCATTACAAAGAAACATCGAAAACTGTCTACTGAAGTTAAGAGTAAAGCTTCTAATTTTTCTGTTTACTCGTTATCGCACGGCAGGGAAATGCGGCAGAGAGGCCTGAAACGCTGCTATGATTTATTTTTATATATTTGGATTTCTATATAGCAACAAGAGCAGGTTAAGTATTTATGCGAGCCAAGCGGCCCATCAGGCCGGAACTTGTCCCAGTTTCTGTAGCGTCTAGGAATATTTCTATTACCCCCCGGATGGGGTGCTGGTGGTTAAATTCGCCGGTACTCATTTGTACACTTGGGTTCAGAGAGGCACTGTGAGAGTAAAGTGTCTCGTCCAA